TGGAGATTGTGATGATCCCTGCGAAAGCTGGAAATCACTGTAGTAGGCAAAGTGTTCTCTAATTGGACAAGGTGGAGATTGTGAGGATCCCTGCGGAAGCTGGAAATCACTGTAGTAGGCAAAGTGTTCTCTAATTGGACAATGTGGAGATTGTGATGATCCCTGCGTAAGCTGGAAATCACTGTAGTAGGCAAAGTGTTCTCTAATTGGACAAGGTGGAGATTGTGATGATCCCTGCGGAAGCTGAAAATCACTGTAGTAGGCAAAGTGTTCTCTAATTGAACAAGGTGGAGATTGTGATGTCACCCAGACTCTAAAAAAACTGTTCTCTGAATGGCACCCATGCCAAACAAGCAACCTCTGTACACAATGCAGCCAATCTGCATAGGACCCAAAAGCTAGTTGAAATCACTGGAGTAGTGGTGTCTAATATCGTTGTTTCCAGCCCCCCCCGACCCCCTCGGGGTCCTTCCTACTGATCCTGGGGTCCTATACTACTGTCACTGGACCCTTTATTATGGTCCCGAAGTGGGACCCTTTGACATGTTCTGCAGCAGACCCCCTTCCTGATGTGTTGGGGCCCCTAAGCGGTGGCAGAACGCCAGGGTCCAGTTGCAAGTGTGACCTTTGCGACCCTGGTAGTTCCACCACTGGTGTCAGAAATGTTTTATTCTCATTATTTTTTTTCTTGCATTATTTTTTACCATTTTATTTGATTTGTTTGGGGTTTTTTTTACAATTTTATTTTTTACAATATTTTGGAGCCCCATTGGGGCTTTGGTGAAATATCAGTAGTCTATACAGATGTTTCACCTTTGGAGGGCACAGCCCTCAATCTCCATCTCTGCAGCCTAAGCTGCACAGAATAAATGGACAGTAATATCTCTATACAGAGCTTACTGTTCATTCACAAACTGGAGCATAGTAAACACAGGAGAGCACACGGGCCCAGGGGCAGCAGGAACTAGATAGGAGGGAGTGGAGAAGGAGGCATATAAATGAACTGATGCCCTCCATTTTCCTCCTGCAGCCGCTAAAAGTGAAATGGGCTTTCAGCGACTTAAGGAGGAAAATGGAGGGCATCAGTTCCTCTTTATGCCACCCCTCCTATCCAGATGTACAGGAGAACTGCATGGGCCCCCTGGAATATAGGAGTAGGTTGCAATTGCGACTCTTGCGACCCCTGTAGATAAGCTCCTTGAAAATAAAATTAGCACTAGTTTATTAGAAATAACCCTGTCAATTCTGATAATATTATAGTGTTGCAAGTAACAAGTACTGATGAATAGCTTTCACAGATAGAAATAATTTCAACAATGATTTCAGAGGGGGCAATATGTGGCCGTGCTGAAGTTAATTGCACAGATATGTTTTGCTGTTGTAACCCTCAGCAAGCTGGCCATGAGCAATGACATGCAGCTGTGGCTGGAACAAATGCATTTGGACATAGTGTCTGCAAAAAGGCTACAGGAGAATAGCAGCTCTGAGATGCAACAGTAGTAATGTAGCAGCTGGTGGGGGAAAGCAAAGCATGCAGCGGGGAACACCCTATCTGACACAACCAAAGTGTTGCAGCGCTGCAAGGGGCAAAGGCTTAGCGCTATCCTCCAACCTGGCAGCTAAGTATTACCTGGAAATGGACTGAAATAACACATTGGAGGAGATTTACTAAAACTGGAGCACTCAGAATCTGGTGCAGCTCTGCTTGGTAGCCAATCAGCTTCTAACTTCAGCTTGTTCAATTAAGCTTTGACATTAAAACCTGGAAGCTAATTTGTTTCTCTGCAGAGCTGCACCAGATTTTGCACCATGCAGTTTTAGTAAGTAACCCCCATTTCTTGCTGGAAAGGTAAATATTAATTTGAATTTTATTAATTTCTTCAACAAGGTGATGACTGTTCAACTATATTTATATGATAGTGACAGGTTCTCGTTAAAGAAGGCCTTTCTGAAGAGAAACATGGAGACTGCCATTGATAAATTCTCACTGTATGAATATGTGTTTCCTTGCTGACTCTTTAGCTTCAATACTTTCAATTACTAAGCTAGAAGAAGAAGAATGCAGAGAAGAAATACTGGCTTCAAGATGGCTTTCCTGATCTGTAAACTTTTTTTTGGGTCTGAGACTCATAAAGAAGCAAGAGGTTTAGTGTAATATAGCCAGTAGGTCATCAAGAACAATACCGGCCATTTATTTATTTCATTTATTTTTTCTCCTCACATTTGTCTCAATTTCACTTATGTGTGTGTTTTTCCTCACTGGATGGAGGGTATGGCTCCTCAGGCCTGCTCTGACATCTAGGGGGAAGATGTGTGGCCCTTAGGTTCCTTCCTCCCCCGATCCCTGGGGGGTCTCTCCCTTCCAAAGAGCCCCTCGACTAAGTACTTGGTGGTCGGCTTCAGCTGATCACAAGGAAAGGGATCCGCCAGGCTTTTTGCCTAGGTGGACCATGTTGGAAACCCTTTGTCCCTGTCAGGAACCTTGCGCCTCGGGGGATCAGAGTAGAGGTCCTACCCCTTCGGGGGGTGGACTAAAAGCAACACCCCTAAGTGCAGTTTTTTGAGTTGTGTTTTTGCACTTGCACCTTTTTTGTACACTTATCAGGTTTTTGCGCACCTCCACGGGCTAAAACTATTTAGCCCTTTCAATGCCAGTGCTTGGCTGTAACTTTCTTTTTTTGCAATTAAAAAACATTTTCTTACTTCATTTTTTTTTTTCATCACATAGAGGACAATAAGTCCCCTATGTGATGATTTTTAGGTGACAGGTTCTCTTTGGGGCCTCTGGATGTATAGCAATGCAGATAACATTGCAATACATTTTTCCCCGGCTATTCTAGCCAAGGAAAGTGACAGCGGTGGAAGTGATGTCATACATGTCGCTTTCCGGGTCACAGTAAGAAGGGGTGCAGAGTGGATGTGTTCTCTCCTCTCCACCTGCCAACACCCACCATATCGACCTCAGGCCCACAGATGGGCAGGTGGAGCCCGGAATACATTGGGGGCACCATTACTGTAGAAGTAATTGGGCAGCAGCGCAGCCTCCTGACTGCTTTCACCTGACAGGCAGGAGCCACCGGATTGTGTGTAAAACCCCCTGCTGTCAAATCTGTATAACGTATGGACCTGGCAGCGAAAAAATAAACCTGGAATTCTACTTACTACTACCACCACTACTACTAATTCTAATAAAGTGCATACACCCTCTGGGATACAGTCAGTAAACACACCAAAATCAGGAAGGACATCAAAGATATCTGACCCTACATGCTGTCACTAACTTAAAAAAATTGCAGGTGAAAGCAGAAAAAATACAGCATTTTAAATTGTTACTTGCAGTGGCTTTTCTTTTCTATAAATTATATTTTTCCTGCTCTTGCAATGTACCACTGAACCTGCTAGAAAATGTGACTACTCCAGGATGAGTGAGAGAACAGCTTCCTCCCTCCTTGCATATCATAGCCCTCTCTTCCGCTGGGAGTGTCTAATTTCTGTCTATGCTGACCCAGCTCCTCTGCCTCTCCCCTCATCTTCCTACATACCCTTAGGCTCCATGTACACTGCAGCTGATAAACTCACGTTTAGGAGCTGTTCAGCGTTTTTTTCATCAGCCCCTGAACCCTCCCTAATGTTTTTTCCTATGTGTCCATGTACACTATGTCGTTTACAGGCAGTTGAGTTTACAGACGTTTTTTTTGAACACACCAAAACTTGCGTTCAGGAGTAGATTTTACCGGAGTTTCAAACACCAAATGCTTGTAAACGCGTGTTTTAACTCTTCCATTTCCAGATGCTGTCCAGAGCCATTTTTCATCATGAAAAATGCATGCAAAGCGTTTTCCCGGTACTCAAATGGACCTGGTACACCATACTTTGAGGTTTTGCATGAAAGAAAATATGTTAGACACTGCTGCAATAATTTCTGCACAGAAATGAGCTGGAACACATCCAAACACCACAAAAAAGAAAAAGCTAATCTTAACACATACTGCTCTCTCTGCTTCTGCTCTCTCTATTTCTCTTAAAATGTCTGAAATAGTTAATTTTTTACTGTTTTTCAGTGCATTCTGGGCATTTTGGATGGTCTCCTGATGTTATCTTTAACCACTAGCCTACAGGGCACTTATACCCCCTTCCTGCCCAGGCCAATTTCCAGCTTTCAGCGCTGTGGCACTTTGAATTACAATTGCGCGGTCATGCAACACTGTACCCATTTTTTTACACTGTACCAAATTTTTATCATTTTTTTGAGACAGATGGAGCTTTCTTTTGGTGGTATTTATTCACCTCTGGGATTTTTATTTTTTCTTAAACCAAAAACCACAGAGAATTTTGAAAAAAAAATGTTTTTCTTAGTTTTTGTTATACAGTTTTGTAAATAAGTGATTTTTCTCCTTCACTGATGTGCGCTAATGAGGCTGCAGTGATGGGCACTGATAGGCTGAATTGATGGACACTGATAGGTGGCACTGATGGGCACTGATGAGGAGGCACTGGTAGGTGGCACTGATGGGCATTGACAGGCATCACTGATGGGCACTGAAAGGCAGCACTGATACATGACACTGATACATGACACTGATATATGGCACTGATAGGTGGCACTGATAGGCAGCACTTACTGGCACTGATAGTCGGCACTGACTGGCACTGATAGGCGACACGGACTGGCACTGATAGGTGGCACTGATTGGCAGCACTGATAGGTGGCACTGATTGGCATTGATAGGTGGCACTGACTGGCACTGATGGGTGACATTGAAAGGCAGCTCAGATGGGCACTGATATGTGGCATTGATGTGCACTGGTATGCACTGATATGTGGCACTGATGGGCATTGACTGCTGGCACTGATGGACACTGACAGATGGCACTTCTGGGGCCACACTGATCATCAGGGCACACTGGTCATCAGTGCCCTGATGATCAGTGTACATGTCCCCTCCGCAGAAAGCCGATTACCGGACTCTCCTCACGAGCTGTCAGCGTGACAGCTCGAGAGGAGAGAAATGCCGATAACCGGCATTTCCGTGTTTACATGTGATCAGCTGTGATTGGACACAGCTGATCAAATGACCGAGCCGACATCGTCGGCTCTTTCTGTGATTTGCTGTGTCCGAGGGACACAGCGCACCGGCGATCGCCGCGCTGCGCGCTCCCTGAGCTGCGCATCCGCAGTGAGAATGGTAGGACATCATATGACGTCCTATCAGAACGAGAGAACCACCTTGCGCCCATCATTGTACTATAGGGCGGGCGGAAGGTGGTTAAAAAATGCTTCTTAACGCAAACACTCATAAACGTACATAAACGTGGTATGCAAATATGGCTAAACAACGTTTTAACCTACATTTTCCAGCAATCAGTTTCCATCGTTCAGTAGTGTCCCGTCTACATGGGGCCTTATACTTAAGTGACATCTCTGAGTCTGCTGGAGCTGCCAACATCACTACCAAAATGGTGGCACCTTGCAGCAGTTTCAGGGCCAGGGGCGGACTGACAACTCATGGGGCCCCCGGGCAATAGGGGATCATGGGGCTCCTGTGTCCTTGCCCAAACTCAAAAAAGCCTATGAAAAAGGTACCATGGGCATCTCATAGGGCCCCCTACTGACCCCGGGCCCTCGGGCAGTGCCCGAGTTTCCAAATGGTCAGTCCGTCCCTGTTCAGGGCTTTTGGATGTCAGGTAAATGACATGCATAAAATATGTTAAATGCACATATAATCTTATGGGAAGATTTTTGATGAAATGAGTGGTCTGGCAGTAGAGTCAAAACCAAAATGTTGAGGGGGAATACAGGGAAAATCAAGGCAACCTTTGTGTGCAATAACAAGTATTCCCAACTTCTCTTTTTTGCTCCCTATTAGTACCATTGGAATTGTTCTGTGCTGTTTGGTATCAGTTACATAACTAACTAGTTCTTAATTAAATTTGAAGCCTGCAGAACCACACCCCTCTATGTCATGGACAGTAGGAGAGGAGCATGGTTCTGTAGTCCTAACTTCTTTGTGGTGTCCTGTGTTTATGGTGTCCTGATACAGAAGGGTGAGTGTTGTCCCATAAGACTGGAAGTGTGTTACTGGCAGGATCACCAGATGAAAAGGGAAAAATGCTTAAAAAAAAGAAAACAAATGCAGCCATCACATCTAAGGACTGGTAAGCTGCAATATATTACATTTTGGGTTTACATACAATTTAAAGTGTCCTTCCCTAGCAGCACATGCTGCAGACCTGTGTGATGCCAAAGCTGCAGGGACATAGACTCTGAGTGTAAGAGTATTGATTGCCCGGTGCTGTCACATGGACTGAGTCACGTGCTTCTTCATATGCAAAAGTACTGGTGTTTCCCGGCACTAAATGGAGTGGCAGGGGAGTGACAGAAAGGTAAGTATATTCTGCTGAGGTCAGATGGATTAAAGTGTTACTAAACCCAGGGCCCTGCATTCACTATATCTGGTCTCCCACAGTACACAGAACATGGAAGTGCAATTATTTTAGTAAATATAAACTGCTAAATACCTTTTCTCGACAGCAGTTAGAGCAGCCTTGTGACTTCTATCAGCACCCAGCAAAGCACTGGTAAAGCTTGTGGGAGGAGTTTTCATTCTCTCCTGATTGTCCTATGAGGCTGCATAGCCCCTGACCCTCTTTCTGGACAGCGTTTATTGGCCCTTTGCTGATCACATGCACTCTCCCAAAGAGAAAAAAAATACCTTTTTCATAGGCTTTTTTGAGTTTGGACAAGCACACAGGGGCCCCATGATCCCCTATTGCCCGGGGGCCCCATGAGTTGTCAGTCTGCCCCTGCTGTCTAGCAATACACACCAAACTGAGCATGTGTCTCCTAGGGCTCAGCAGATGGATTGCGGACTGTGGAAGAAGGGGAGGATCAGAGAAGTCAGGATCAAACAGCCTTTTTACACAATGCAGAGGATTAACCCCTTAGGTTCCACAGTATAACAAGCATGCTTTACTGCATATACAGACTGATTTACTGTTGTGGGTTTAGTAACACTTTAAAACAAAACTGTTGCTTTGTCCTAAATGGTCAACGCAGAGGTTTTCAAAGCTACATTCACTATTGTAGGGTGGTAAGGGGCTGGGGGCCTTTTTTGGGACTACACCTCCCAGATGAATTGTCGCTCACCCTTGCCCACACAGGAGGCTTCTTATTATATGCCTCCCTCCAATTGGCTAAAAGCATGTTAGAAAAAAAAACCCCTGCCAATACCTTTTGTTTTTGGACAAGTTACTTCTCAATGTGCTTTTACATGCAAATTAACCCATTACACTGAGAATTCTGTGTGCATATTAATGTGGAGAACGGTTCAAGCTGCGATCTGTCACAAGGGCGTTCTGCGGTATAGAATTCACAGTCTATGCCAATTGTTACAGTGAAAGTTTTTCAGTAGATTGAAAAAGTTTTCCTGCACAAAAAGATACAGGCAGGAAACAGAATTAAAAATGCAGATTTTAATTGGAGGAAAAAATATTAGTATTTTGTGCTGGTTGGACTGATGAAAATGTGAGCATTTCATACAATGCCCCCTGTGTATGTAGGTAATAAATTGTTACATATGAGGGATTATGAGCTACAAATATCAGTTATATCATTCTGGAAGTTTACCAGCTTCTTGGAAATTTAGGCCGTTTGCACCGGTGCATTTTTCCTGTGCTAAAACGCACTTTTCCAGTGAATTAAAAGCAAATACAAGAAAAGTCCTCTTGAAACACAAAATCATAAATTATAATTGAATAAATAATCATAAAAAAAAATAATATAATAATAATAAATTGAATTCAATAATATTATCAAACCAAAAACACTGAAATTTGAAATATAGCGCCAAGTTCGCACATCACTGAGCAAAGTCGCAGAATCGTTTTCAGTGTCTGATGATGAATTTCCCCACGAATCATTATCACTCAATTCTGCAAGTGGTTCTAATTTACTATCATTGTTCTCTAGCTGGTCTAAAACCGATTTTGACCTAAAGGGACGCTTTTTGGACGCCATGGATGTTTCTCAGTTTCCAGGCAGAAAGAACAGTAAAAATGCAGGCAGGGCGCAGGACAAAGCACTTAGGGACAAAATGTATGTGAAATGCTTTGATACAGTAATGTTTTACTATGTGATTTTAGTGTATTTAGTGAATGTCACTTTTTGTCATTTTCAAATTTCCCGCCAATCCGTCCCCGTACATCCCGACACTCGCAGGGGACGGAACCCAGATGACAGATGCCGGCATCCGCCGGATTACATTGCCAGGAACACTGCAGGAGGGACATCGCGGGAACGCAGGACAAGGTAAGTGATCGAGGGATCCCGGAGCAGCACCGCATGGTAAGCCCGAGTGTAGCTCGGGGTTACCACTTGTGGCACTGAAACTTTACCCCGAGCTACACTCGGGAATACCACCAGGGAGGCTACAGGAGAAGTACAACCAGAGCTCTTTTGGCTGTACTTCTCCTGTGGATCTCAGGAGTACAGTTTGTTTTGCACTCCTGTGACCCATTTTCATCTGACAACTGACATCACTCAGCTGGTCCAAGCTGGGTAAAGATCCCGACTTTAAAGTCGGGATCCACCCCAGAGTCTGGAGCAGCACCTGGCTCAGCCTGTCAGTGATCTGCTGAGACCCTGAGCCAGCCACTCCCTTCCCCTCCACAACCCAGAGCTCCAGTGAGTGCTGGAGGGGCAGAGCAGAGAGCGGTGGATGACACTCACCACTCTCTGCTCACAGTAGCAGTAAGAACTCAGCAATCAGCAGTGATGTGATTGCTGAGTTCTTAGGCTTAGAGCCACGGGGGACAGATGCAACATCGGACCGATGCTGCATCCACCTAGGTAAGTATAATTTTGGGGGGAAAAAAACCCCATACTTCTCTTTTAATGGCATTGAAAAGCCTGGGCAAGAGGACATTGCTTGGGAAAGCAGAACAGTACATTCTGGGGAATTAAAGAGATGGATAGTTGAGGAGGGCCCGGGGGTGTGTAGGGGTGTTCTCTCTCTTAGGTCTTGTGCAATTTTTGTGGCTGCATGTTTTTACCACCCCTCAACCTATCTCCCTTAAGCTGCAAAGGCATCGGATGGTGGTGTACTCACGCTCACAATGCATTACATCAGCAAATTCCCCCCCTCCACCTCATGATCAATTCAACTTAATGGGGATGCCCCAACCACATGTCAAATCCTCTCTGACAAGCAATCAACCATGGATCACTCTTCAGAGGGCGGCACTAATGTATATGAGTCTTTAGCGTGCCAGCTGACCCTGGCTGCAATAAAGCCCCGATCGTTGTCCGCCTGTTGGTTTTTCAAGCAGACCCGATTGGATGCTCTTTTGCTCTCGATGGAGCAGCAGGTGTAAATGGATATGTGTCTGTGTATACCTGCCTGCATCTGATCTGATCCTGTCTGCTAAAAACAATTGGATGGGGATCCGCCTGGCAGAAATGAACAGATGACAGTTGGATGGAAACGGACGAGTAGTCCATTTCCATCTGACAGCCCATAGAGGACAGCAGGCTGTGTGTGTGTGTCCGCTCTGCATAGGCAGAGCAGACACAGACCTGTGATAGATCCTCCGCTGAGTAAGCGGATCTGCTGACAGGTCTGCCCCATGTAAAAGGGGCCTAATAATAACTTATTCCAGCAATCCGTTGCTGCTTAAGGTGGTATTAAACATTTATTATATTGTAGCTTACCAATTCTTAGATCTGATGACTGCATTGGGGTTTTTTGTAGGCTTTTTTTCTTTTATTTTCAACTAGTGATTCAGCCAGTAAGTCTGTTGCTTTTCAAAAGACCTCCAGCAGAATGTATCAATTACAGAGATGAGACAAACCATTCAATGCTGGCACGGGAGCTTACAATGATCAACTTTTATTTATTTATGTAAAACCTTTATCCCAAAAGGAAAAAAAAACTATTTGCTGTAACTGCTTAAAAAGTGTGAGCTGGAGTTTGACTTCAGTGTGTTTTTTTATTTAAATCTGCTAGTCCATCTAACCACCCCCCCCCCCCTCCCCAACTGACAATGCTGCTGTCCAAAGGTGCCCCCTGTGCTTGTTCATCCAGAGTGGGGGCACTCTAATACAGGAGGTGTGGTACTGGCCAGATCACCAGGCGAAAACGGGGGGGGGGGGGGGGGGGGGAGCTTAAGAAAAGAAAACTGATGCAGCTACCAGATCCAATGACCAACAAGTTGTGCAATATTTCATTTTTGGTTATGTGTTTAATACTGCTTTAAGGGAGCCATATCCAGAATAAAGCACGCCACTCTTAAACTAACCTTAGGACTAGGAGCTCAGGACTCAGGGTATTAAAGCTTTAATATAATTATATCCCTCAATTACTACATATTATATATAAATCCAGCAAATACCTTTGCAAACCCGGATATTACTTACTATTTTTGCTAGCGCGGGGAAATTATTGGGTTTGTTTTTATTGTTTTTTTTACAAACCCAGATATTACCTTGTAAAAACAGCATCATTGTGCTCTTTTATGGAGGTTCATTTCCTTATGCAGTTCCTCTTTGTTGGTATGAGTAATGCACATATATTAAAGTCACATGCTCCGCTCTATTCAAATTACAATTTTCAGTAATCCATGCACCTGGTGATTCTACTGTGCATGCAACGCCATATTCATTCATTCATTCATTCATTCATTCAGGCACTTAGATTGTAAGCTTCGAGGAGCAGGGCCCTCCTAACCCTCTTGTATTGAACTGTATTGTTGCTGTATTGTCTCCTGTTATATTGTAAAGCGCTGAGCAAACTGTTGGCAATATATAAATCCTGTATAATAATAATAATTCAGGCATTGCTGTGTAGGCAGCATTTTTTTTTCTGATTGCACATGATAGCATTTTCTGGATCCAAGTAGCCACTTTCAAATGGTAAGTGGGAGCACAGCAGATTTTACACTGATATATCAGACATGCTATTAGGAGGGACAAAGTTGACTGTAAATGAAGGTCTGCAACAGGATTTTTTTAAAGGTTTAGTTACACTTTATGATCTCACACACACAGCAGAAAAAATGCTCCAAACCTGTGTACAGAGAGCATACTGGCATATTTTATGCACATACAGTACATATGTAAATGTATATAAACGCACAAAAAAAGCATTAAAGTGTCTGCAATAGATGAACATTCCAGCCAACTGAGTTTACATGCCTACGTTTCTAAACCCAAAATGCCTGTAAATGCTCATAAATACATTGCCTGAACAATAGTTTGTTAAATTGTTTGTTAAATTATTTTAAATAATTTGTTAATTGCCAAAAACAATAGTTTTTTACACTGGATTTTTCTACCAGTTCCCGGCATAAAGATCCAGCGCACACAGGAGTATTTTAATATGCCCCCTTGCATGAGGGTCAAGGCTACTGCAAATACAGCAGGATTTACATGATTGTGCTATCTATATGTAACAAAAATGCAAACTGAAGCTCCAAACTACTGCTAAAAGGTCCAGATACAACTTTATTCCAATAAAAGTCAGGGATGCAATCCAAAGAGTAGAATACAATTTTTTAGGGGTCCAAAGACACCCACTTCATCAGGGTTAGAAAAAACATAAGGACATCCCCATATCAATACAATATGCCCTCCTCAGAATCATAGTT